CTGCAACCCAGCACCACCCAGCCTGCCTAAGGCAGCATAGTGCACAGAAAAGGACAGAGCAAGAAAGAGCCCGATTCGGGCTTCTCTCGCAGGAAGCCCAAATGCAGGCTCAAAAGATGACAAGGATACTTGCCACTGTACCAGTCCACAGTGGAGGGCTGGGCCTGGGCTGGGAGAAGAGCTCGTGCACACGGCGAATCTTCCCAGGCAAGAAGGATGACAACTGTGGAGACACATGTGCTGTCTGCTGTACCCGGATGCAGCCTCACATTGGCCCCGAGTGTGGCCTGGCCACAGCGAGGAGCAGGGCTCCCCGGAACTGCACAGGGAACCAGGAACACCGTTCCTGGCATTTTCCTCGGTGTTTTGCCTTCCTGTTTGTGGAACGGGTAAGCACAGGTTTTCTCCTGCAGTCTGCTGGGTGTCATCTGGTGTCACAGAACAGGTTTCGCTGTGCCAGTGGCCAGAGCACTGCAACTCGGCTCTGACTCCCTGGGCTTCCACCAGGGATCCTTCCAGCCTTGCCACCGGCGGCGGCTATGTTAGCCGCTGTTGGGCCAGCAGAGGTCACTAGAGGGGCACTGGAGGAGGAAGAGCCCTTTCTGGCTGTGGTATGCTTGCCTTCCTCCTCATTCCATCTGGTGCCACGAGCCAGGGGTCTTGCCCAGGGATAGTCAGTGACACCCCTGCGAGCCACTTCCCAGCGAGCCCAAGGCCACCCTCACCCGTGGAGACCTCTCAGCAGCCGGCCAGCAGGCCCAGCCTGCTGGCTCTGGACAACAGGCTCTTGACAGGCTTCCTGGAGAGCAGGATATATTGGGAAGGGGACAACTCCTACAGCTGGGCCTGAAGTTTCTCCCTTACCCATGAGCCTCCACTGGCTCAGATCGGCCAGTGAATTCCTCTGCCATTGGTTGAGCTCTAATCACACTCTCCAAACAGCTCCCCAGGCCCAGGAAGGGCCCCTCCCTCCCGCTCACTCCTCTTGGACAAGTTCCCCCCCTCCCTCCTCACAGCAGCTCAGTCCTGGGTAGCAGATGCTAATCCTGCATGCCCCCTTTCTTGCTCACTCAACCCACACACCTCCCGCCAGGCCTTCAAGGGGTGTCCAAGTGAATGCAATCACAGGAACCCTCTCCTGCACAGGCAGATTGGACAGGTGGCACTCCCACCACAGGGTGGGGCTGGTTCTTGTGACAAGCGCTCAATCACCATTGCCAGTGCAAACAGCAGCTGCCGGGAGCAGTTGTAAAGAATCTGTCCATTTCTTCTCCATTTTCACACATCACCAAGAGCTGTTTAGGATATCCTCTTAGGTATTGATCATCTGTTTAAAAGAATGCCAGGCTCAAAACTCTAATTCTAAATTACTCAGAGGCGGAGAAGGGTCTGTCTGAGGCCTCAGCTGGAGGCCGGACGGGGCAGAGTTCAAACTTCAGTGCCCAGAAAGGTAGAGGGACTTTCCGGTATACAGGTGTGGTGACCCATTGCCTGGAATCCTGGCTACTCAGTAGGAAAATAGTCCAAAGTCAGTGCAAGGAAAAGCATGAGACCCTATCTGAAAAACAAACTATAAAGCAAAATGGACTGGGCACATTTCAAGTGTTAGAGGCCGAGCAAGCCCTGGGTCCAATCCTCTGAAACACACACACACACAGTTTAATGATTAGTGTGTCTTTTGTCTTATTAGTCTATTGCTGCCGACTTGTTGTCCTAAGTGTTTCTTGATTGCTTATTAATGTTAAATTCAATGCTCACCTACACCCTGACACCCCGTGAGGCGGTACGTTCTTTAAAGACCATCTGAGCTAACAGCTACCCAGACTAAGGCTCCCTGGGATGGGCGCGCTGCCTCTCGTGATGGCTCTGCCACCTCCTGTTCACCACGGCCTCTTCCTTCCTTGTGACAACAGGCTTCTAGAAATGTGAAAGCCCAGGATTCAAAGCTGAACTGAGGCGTTACTGCATGCCCAGCCTCTCTTAACTTCCAAAGAAAGGGCATATGGAGCCCAAACGGTCAGAGCCTGCAAGTCCTTCACGTGGCCTTTAATCTACCTGGAAGTGACTTCCCTTCGGAAATCTGGGGCTGTGTCCTCACTTCTCCAGGTTCTAGCGTATATCCGAGAGCGGCACAGCTGCTCTGAGCCTGTGTTCTGCTGGGGAAACGTCACTGTAACGAGTTGGCAAAGGTCTCCCCTTTCCATCCTGTTACCATGGGGTTCACCCTCATCCTCAGAATTCTCAAATGACGTGCTCAAACCCTGAAGAGGTACAATGCTTCGCCGGTGTCTTCAGGTCTCTCCTTTGGAGTTTGTGTGTCTTTCTGCTCCACGTCCTGCCAGGAAGACAAGCGTACCGGAAGGCTGAACACTGCGCCCCTTCGGTTGTCCACGGGGCGGAAGGGCCGGCCACCCACCTGTGGAGGGCAGGCAGCCTGTGGGAGGAGAGGCTGCTTCTTGAGGAGGCTGTTTTGCCCCTCTCAACGACTCCCAGAAACCTGGAACTGCCATGCCTGAGCTTCTGGGCGTGCAGTCTCCTTAAATCCACATTTTGTTCTACAATACTGCTTCCTCAGGTGTTTCTAAGTTGGTTACAATTCACCTATTTTTTTTTTCTGAACTTTGTTACTGTTTTTAGTCACTCTAAAGAAGTATTTTATACTTATAAATAATAAATGCTGTCATTCCCATGAGGTAAGAAGGAACAGTGGTAAATGGCCATGTTTAACATACAGGTGGCAGGAAGGCAGTGTTTCTGTGAGAATCCCAGTGTCCAGCCCAAATCTCAAGAGTCCTTTTGCTGTAGATGGGAAAGAATGCCCTGGCCACACAAGCCCAACGGAAAGGAGCAGAGGCAGCCTGTGACCGAGCCCTCCTTTCCTCAGCCCAGGAGACATGGAGAGGGGCTCAGGGGTAAGAAATGGAGAAAGGACCTGCAAGCAAGTACAGCGGACACGCCCGTGAACCACTCAGATGAATAAGTATCTTTATTCAGCTCATCCATTCACTGTGGGGCTTGCCCCACATCCCCACACCTTCACCCTTCTCCTGGTAAACCATGCACATAAAACAGCAGGGCCAGAACGCAGCGCTTCCATCCCACCCCGAAGAATGCTGAACAATGCTAAAGGCTGGGAAGCTAGGAGCTGCAAATAGCTTTAGGGGCCCAATCTCTCCAATCCAGAAGCCACACCACTAAGTGAGAAAGGCTGCCAGACAGTGTAAGACCAATGTCCGGGGGCATTCTAGAGCCCCATGTCCCCTGGGTCCCTGGAAACCATCCAGAGTCGTCCCTTCTTCAACTGTGCACACCCAGACTTCACATGGTCAAGAAGCTTCTACTCATCAACAGACACTGACTACCACATCCTTAAGGCATTGAGAGGAGGGAATTAGACGGTAATAATATTTATTAAAGTTATAATGTATCAAAATGTCCACCATACTTTGGAAAACTCTTAAATTAGGCACAAGAGCAAAAGCAGTGCTGACCCCAGCCATTGCAGACAAACACCTACTCAGACCAAAGCAGGACGGGAAATGGAGGGTGGGTGGTAAGCATCCAATTCAACATGTCACTAGGCTCAGGCCCCAGTGCAGGCCGACCCTGACCAGGCTCAGCACCCAACACAAAGTGGGGGCTTTGCAGACCCCTCAGGGAGGAGCAGGCCCTACCAGCTACAGAACAGAAGCAAACTCAGTTCTGTAAGTGCCAGAGAGCTACTGATAAATGTCATGCTCATACCAGATTTATGCACACTCATGTATCTAGACTGATCTTGAGTTCAAAACAGCTTAAAAAAGAAATGCACCTGAGGCATGCCAGACACTGAGCAATACATGTTAAGGCAACACAAGTCTGCCCCTTCTGCCCCCTCCCTCTTTCTCTCTGCTATCCTGGATTTATGGTACAGTCCATATATCACTGTGCAAATCGAAGTCTGGGCTGCTTCTGGGGTAGGATGTTAACCCCACTAACCATGCACATCAGCACAGTCACTGCCCACTAAGGGAAGTGGGGAGGAGGGGAGTCAGGCTAAGTGAGCAAAGAACATAAAAAGGAGGTCTGGTGGTCAAAGGAGGCACTTCTTCCCAGCCGGCAGAAGTCAGGACTGGTCAGAGTGCCCATCCAGCAGTCGCCTGCAGCCCTGGCACCAGCAGCCTCACCCCTGGTGCCATAGCCAACGCTCAGGCTGCCACAGACTGCCAGGGCCTGAGCACCTCCTCACTGAGAGAGACACACTAGCTTCCTCTGAGCGGCTCCAGGACTGCGCCCCACAGGCCCACAAAGGATGTCTGAGCTTCTCAGGCCGTGCTGTGATCTCAGGCAGAGGGGGCAAAAGTGCTGCAACACCCTTCACCAGCACCCAGACTAAGAACCCAAGAATCTCTCACCAATGCGTCAACATACACTACGTGATTTCATCAACCTGCAGACTTAAAGAGAAATCCCAGAGGAAGGGCAGCCAAGGAAAAGCACGACCTCACTACCACCTTCGCGCTATAAAAAGAATGGCATCATCCAGCGAGAAAGGACAGGATCTCAGAATAAAGTAGATGCTGTCCTTTTGTGTTGACCACGACGCCCTTCCATGTCCTGCCTGCAGACTGCGCCGTGACTCCAGCTCCTCTACAGGGCACACGGCCCAGCCCCGTCTCCAGGTCAGTGGAAGCACTTCCACTAGGAAAGGGACAACAGACAGCAGTACCCATGTACTGGAGACGGCTCTGAACCAAGTGCTGTGTGCACGGCTTCTTGTAGGACCTCATCAAAAAGTGTAGGAGACACTGGGCGCTGGTGGCTCAGGCCTGGAATCCTAGCTACTCAGGAGGCTGAGATCTGAGGATCGCGGTTTAAAGCCACCCTTGGGCAGGAAAGTCTGTGAAACTCTTATCTCCAATAAACCACCAGAAAACCAGAAGTGGCGCTGTGACTCAAGAGCTGAAGAGCTGAGGGACAGCACCCAGGCCCAGAGTTCAAGCTCCATGATCGACAAAAAAAAAAAAAAAAAAGAAGTGTGAGAGACACAGTGGAAAGTGCTCCCTGCGCCCTGAAGGCAGGAGGCAGCAGCAGCGCACAGGCAGGAGCACGCTTGCTTTCTGTTGTGTGCCGCTGCTTCTTTCATGAACTTTTATGGGAAGACTCCAGATGGCACATGAATGCCTGGAACAGAGAGGGAGGTGGAGATGGAGTTCAAGTAGTAGTGCCGAGCTAAAGGAGAAAAAGCTACTGAGCCCAAGCCCTGGTGCCAGCACACGCACACGCGCACTCGCACATGCACGCACACACACGCACACACACACCCCAAGTCTGACAACAAACACAGTCAACATCAGAAAATGGCTCATTACCTGTTCAACAAGTACTCTGGCCTAACAGCTAACAGCCCCTCCAGCATGGCTGGTGCACCTGTGGGTCGCTCAAGCTTCCCCATGATCACGACCAAGCAAGCATTCTGCCTTTAAACTCTTTTCTGAACAAGGCAAAATAGAAATAAATAAATAAATAAATAAACAAACAGTAACAAGTGAAATGAAAAGTCATAGAATATGTGACACCAAGGGCCTTCTGGGAAGGTAAAAGCTAGGACTCGGCTGACCTGAAATGTTAACACGTGCCCAGACTCTGCCCCCGCCACCTCACTGCCCACAGTGAGGGCTGCATCAGGCCGGCAGCTGCCCCAGGGGAGAACAGCCAGACACATGCTCCTGGAATGCACTCCTCCCTCTGGACCACTGAGCAGCTCTCTGGGGCCAGCTCTGGACAGGGGCAGCAGCCTCAGCAAGCACCACTATGTGTCCTTGCCAGTGGGATGTGGGCATCAGGCTGGGAAACATGAGTCATGAAGTGCTCCAGTGCACAAGGATTCTGCCTTATCCTAGACCCTCCCCTTGACGGCCCAGGACCAGGGGCACTTTGGTAAAGTGAATCACTAGGAACAAGAAAGAATGACCATAGTCAGCTACCAATACTGTTTTCAGCTGTGACATTTCAATAGTCAGTGAACCTCAAAGTGTAGGGTTTTGAAAATCCTAGCAGAAGAGATGCTGACCGTGGTCTCCCCACGTGAAAAGCTGTGGCCTTGGCCAGGTAGAGAACAGCACACACCCACAAAAGACCCAAAGCAGGCCTCCAGCCCAGCTCACCCACGCCCAGACACATCAGTCCCTGGTCAGGCCGAGGCAAGGCTCAACTTCAAGGAACAATCAGAACAGTCTTTGAGAGCCATAGGAAATGGGTCCACACCCTTGAAGGAAAGACACAGCACCTGCCTGACTCACCAGAAGGCCTGAGAACAGACACCCTACCACCAAGGGCAGAGGGCAGCTTCTGCTGCGCCAGACTATGGCAGGGCTCTCCTGGAGAAAGCCTGCTTTCCCCTCCCCTGAGCCAAAGGGCAGGACTGAGAAGCCTAACCAGGAAAGCAGCCCCGAGCTCAAAGTGGAGTGAGGAGTCTCACTCCTGAAAGCCTCCAATGTAATCTGCATGGCTGGCCGTCCGCAGGGAGGACAGGCCCTCGGCGTGCTGGTGCGCCTGTAGCCAGGGCGAGCTTCCGCACCACCACCCCACCTCCCAAACAGCAAGTCCCAGTCCCACCCGAGTCCACAGACAGCAGTAACCCCAAGCTCTGCAGCAAGCAGCCCTCATCATTCCACACCTAGGCAGGCTTTCTGACCTCAGTCAGACCCAAGCCCAAGCCCGGTCCAGGCCTCAGGAACCCAGCTCACACTCAGACACAGTCCCGGCCTACAGCCACATCCCTCGGCTGCACAAGCGCTCCAAGGGCTCTTTCTCCTCAGGACCCCCTGACAGTTCTGCTCCTCTGGCCCTAGCTCCAGCTCTAGGAGGAGAGGGGTCAGCTCAGTGTTCCTGCACTCCTACAACCGGGGGCTGGAGGGTGTCGGAATTCTATCCTGAAACCCAGAACATAAAGGCCAACCACTGCCTGTGCCAGCAGCATCACACAGACGCTAATAATTAACAGAATTACAGATCTGAGATCTCATTCCTAAACATTTCTAAAGTTTGGAATCACCAGAGAACCACAGGCACAGAGAACCAGAGGCTTCAAGAGTTCACTGGAAACAGCAGCGGTCCCCGGCCCACCTGCTAATGACCCTCTCACCTGGATTCATAGTGCTGGGTGGAGAGCAAGCCTCCCCCACACAGCCCGAAGCACCTGCAGTAACATGTCATCTCTCCCATCTACCTCCAACCCTGGGAACACCAGGAAAAGACTTCTGGCATCACCGCTATCCCCTTTCAAGACTCTTGGAGCAGCTACCATTTAGGATCCCACAAAGGGAAGAGCAATCAACCAGTCACCAGACGTTTGGTCTATGAACAAAGCTTGGAAGCACCCAGGAGACCAACTTAATTTTCCACCTCTTGGTATGTGAGGAACTGAAGAGAATGTCTCAGCAGTCATCTTCCATTAGAACTGGCAGTGAATGCTGTTGGGAAAAGTCCTTGGTCTACATGCAAGCAGTCATTTACTGCTAGTTCATGTAGGCCTCCAAAAATCTATCACTGTCTGGAAACTCCCTGTCTGGAAATCAAACAACAGAATAACCCAAGCTCTGTTGGTGTGAGAACAGGTGCTATGTTGTGTGATGACACAGCACCCTGAGCTCCACACACTGAGACTCAGATCGCACGTCCAACCATCCTCGAGTGAAGACAGCTCACAGGAGAGAACACTGTGGTGGCAGGAAGGAAAACAAGCTAGCAAGTTCACAAACTGCATTTCAGCCCCCCACCTGTTTCGGTGTTTTTTGTTTTTTGGGTTTTTTTACTAAAATCTTGCACTTCAGATATCAGGCTTTAATAGAGCAATTAAATAGTAAAGTAGAAAAATAAATAGAAGCATGGTTCTGGAAAGTGCTAAGACTCTTCCCTACTTGGGGCTATCAACAGACCTCCAGCTCAACCCACACTTCACACATTTCATGGCCCGTAGCATTCATCTGCAAGGGCAGAAAGAGAGGTTTTCAAAGACCAAAGTTCTGTATGAGCCTTTCGCTGACAATGCCCCAGCACCTGAGAGAGGATTACAATCCACAAGGACAAGGCCATTTCTGCTTCTCCAACAGCTAAGGACAGGTGGCAGCACAGGACGTGGCTCACGAGCCAGCGGTGTCAACCCTTCCGGCAGAGTGGCCTCTTCTTCACTGCAGTAAGCCACCACAGCTGAACTCTACTCATGGAGAAGGAACCTCTTTATGGGGTCTGGCAGAGGTAGCGAGGGAATCAAGTGAAGTCGGTATTTGCCAAGAGCTCTTCTCACAGTCACGCGGCACAAACTCAGCAAGGTCCTGGGTACACCTGGAGAGCCATGGAAAGAAAGGGAGACAAGAAGGTTCATTTCCATGCCAGTTGTGCAGGCCAAGGCTGGCTGTGATGGTCAGCACTGCATGACTGTGCACACCAACCTCTTCGTCTGAGCCAAAGAAGCAGGTTGTGAGCAAAGTCATGTTGCCAGCTCCTCTGGCTTATCTCCTCCTCTGTGAGTTTCTGGCTCTAGAGCAAGTGGGAGCAGCAGACCACCACCCCTGGTCAGTCCCAGAAGGGTCCAAGGGAGTGAAGGGGCACAGACTGAGCAGTACAAAAGCTCCAGGTCAGAAAGACGCAGGCAGGGCCCGGACAAAGAGTCTACCGGTACACCCTCACAAGCAGAAGCAGCGTCATTCTACCAGCACACTCCTACCTCACTATTCACCCACACATGTTCCGGTGAACCGATTTGGGCGAGTTCAACAAGGGAAACACTGGAGTTAATGTTCTGTTGGAGGTTAACACATTCAGGAAGAAGCTGTGGACTCGGATGCCCTAAAACTCCAGGCAGAAAATGAGATGCAGACCACAGAGGACACAGGCTGACTCTGAACCCCAGAGAAAGCCATGGGAAGAGAGCCACATCACCATCAGCTCCAAACTCCACTGACTTTTTCTTTTTTTCTTTTGAGGGGTTGGGGCGGTACTAGGGTTTGAACTCTGAGCACGTGCTCTACTACTTAGGCCATAATGCTTTGCACTTAGTTTGGTTTTCAGGCAGGGTCTCGTGATAACTCTTGCCCAAGCTGGCTTCTGATCTTGACTCTTCCATCACCATTTCCCGAGCAGCTGAGATTACAAGCATGTACCACCACCTGATTTAAAAATTCCTTAGTAAACTCTTTCTTCAAAAATAAGCAAACTCTAGATTTCATTCTAATAAAAACTGGACTTGTCATTATTATATGACCCAAATGAATGGTAGTTGAGTGGGACTGAAGGAAGGGAAGCGAGGAGCCCGAGAAAGCGGGGATGACTACTACACTCCTTTAAAGCCTATGGAAAGCCTGGAGCAGCAGCAGCTCATGCCTGTAATTCTAACCACTCAGAGGTCAGGAGGTCAGGTAGAACCATTCTCAACAACAGAAGGTGGGCACAGTGGTTGATGCCTGTCACCCCAAGCACACGGGAGATGTAAGCAGGAGGTCACAGCCCAGACTGGCCAAGGAGTACACTCAAGACCCCACTGAAAAAGTAACTAAGCAAAAAGGGCTGGGGGTGTAGCTCAAGCGGTAGAGCATCCGCCTAGCAAGTGAGGACCCCGCAGCTTCTCTAGCACCTCCTCCCTCCTCCTGCGCCAAGGGGCAGCAAGGGGAGTATGCAAGAAGTCGTGGTCTCTAAAAACCTAAGGCCACAAATAAGAGCAAAATGGTACAGGGAATACAACTTCAGGAACTTGGAAAAACATACATATACTTTTATACTTTCCTGATGTCAGCTCTTGGTGCTTAGGAACTGCAACACAGACCAGTCTGAACAGCTATTCTGGAAAACTGCTAGTCTTAACTAAAGAGTTTGATCAAATGCTTAATGAGAGTTTGTTCCCTTTGTCTTTAAGTAACTCTGCATCTTATTGAGTCAGTCAAGACAAATTGCAGGTGAAAACTGAGCCCCGCACTTACTTCTGGCCTCTTTAAAGACCTGCAAGGCCTCCGGGTCCGCCTTCCTTCTACCCCTGGACTCTGGGCCCAGTGATTCCCACTTCACCAGGTTCAGGTTGGCTCCAAACTCTACCAGAAGACTCACAAAGGCTGCCTCACAGCCGTGACGCAGGACAGCATCCATGACACACGCAGGAGAGCCCCGGTAGAACTCCTGCGTGTTGACGGGGCCATTGCAGTTGAAGTCAGGATTTGCCCCTGCCTGCAGGAGCAGCCTGAAACACTGCAGGTTGTGGTAGGCTGCGCTGATGTACAGGGGGCAGACCACCAAAGAGGTGAGCCGCCTTGAGAAAGGGGGCTGGGCGTCAGGAGTCAGGTGGTGATTGATATCAACGTCGGCCCCATATCTGCAGAAGGGAAGAAAATCAGGTCTTGCAAAAGATCAACCACAGTTACCAACAGGGGACTAGCTGGCTCATCCATAAGCAGCAGCACTGTACAGCTATGAGAAGACAAACCACAGACCTTGGAGCAGGGAGAGAACAGGTCAAAGAAGACAAGGCTGGCAGCTGGGTATTTTTAACACCCCTTGTTTCACAGATGGACCCAATTGTGTGCCTATCTGTGTCATTGTGGACTCCCAGCTCAGTGATCCTCCTTTTCAGGCACAGTCAGCACCGGACTCACTACTAACAGGCTGACAGCAGACAACAGCATCAGGCTCACTTGCAAGGGCCTCAGGTAGGGCAGCTGGTGGGCAGGCAGCATCACACGGCCCTACACAGCCACACACACTCTTCAGGGAGATAACCCTGTAATCCTAGGTCTGCATCCCGACCCCAAAGGATAGCCCAGATGTGAGAAACCCAATCTCACACAGGGCAGACACTGGGCCACCATGGCCTGTGTCTACAAGACCCCACAGCACAGCATTGCCTGTCATGCTTTCAAAGATGTCCAAATGCAGGGCCATCCAGCATGCAGAGCTCTCCCAGACCAATCACTTTTCCTCCTAACAGTGGTTAGTCAACTGGAGAGGACAGAGTCCTGGCAAAGCGAGCAGGGTACTGGCTAGGGACAGAAGTGGCTGTTGGGCACAAGTGGAGCCCCCGTGGTGAGGAGGCTTGTGTGGGAAGGGGAGCAGCAGACCTGTTTCTTGTGAGGGACTGGCAATAGATTAAGAGAACCAGATTCCTTACTGCTGAAAAGGAGGATAAATCTGGAAGAAAGAAGAAACTAGGATGCACCCCATGACATTAGACGGGATGGGCTGACTCAGGGACACATGGAAACAAAAATGCAGTAGATACACTGTATCTACTTGGAGAGAAGAGTGAAAACAGCCTCCCTCCTGGGCTTCTAATTCTCTTTTTCGTTTGTGTTTGCTTTGAGCCAGGGTCTTCCCGATATAGCCCTGGTTGTCCTCAATTTCTCAGTCCTCCTAACTCAGCCTCCTGAGAAGCGTGATTACAGAAGCTCAACACCAACCAGGCTTAGATCTTGGTTTCTACATACCATCCTTCACTGAAGGAAACTAGAACTCACTGAAGAAAGCACCCATTCCAGAGGTGACAGAGGCAAAATCTAAGTTGGGCGTTACACAAGAAAACAAGAAACTCAGAAAAATGATAGGGACAATGCAAAAGGCCACAGAGCTGGCTCAAAGCTTCTAAAAGTGGCCAAATCTGAGACGTTCTGATCATAACAGTGGACTCTAAGTTGCTGGACACTCTAAGAAACCATGACTCTACCAACAAACAAATTAGATTTTGAGACGAGGATCAGGATATACCGATGGCTGTAAGAAATCTCTCCACAGAATGCTAATTTCAGAAAGAGGGAAAACTAGCAGACATCAGCTTAGTAAGAGCAAATGTTAACACTGCAGTCTGGGACAAGCTGAAGTCATGTGCAACCTGAGCGGAGGTCATGAGAACCTGAGCCCACTTCTGCCCCGATGAACCTGGCTCCAGGTGAGACCTCAGCACCCTGCACCTGTTTTCCTGAGTTATCACTGGCCCAGGACAGTCCTGGGTTATCTCACAAGCTGTCTAATTACCTGAGCATTCACTTGAAATACGTAAGAAGCAGTGTCAAGGGGACCCAATGGGCAGGTTCAGTTGAGAGGAAACAGCATCGTCTCCCCAACACTCGTAGCCAGCAATCAAAATCTGGAATGTCTCCTCAGCACTCCCAGCACCCAGAGCCTCCCCTGGAAACAAAGAACTATTTTTGGGCAGCACGGGCTGAGCACAGTCATGGACCAGCAAGCCCACTTCCATTACAAACATAAACAGCACACACTCCGAGACATCATCAGTCTAAACACATGAAACCACCCCAACGTGAGGCTCCACCACAACCAGTGCTTCCTTCCCTTCTTATTCTTATGCACATTCTTCTGGAATGCTCATAATTTGGGGCAATATAACAATCTGGTTTTAGCTGAGTTCTAAACTATGTGTAACACAATGGATGGCATCCAGTTATTTTTAAGCCTGAATATTGTTCATATTTCTGACAAGGAACCAATTAGACAACTCAATAAACAACACAAGATAGGGCCAAAACGATAACCAAAGGTAAGTTAACAACCTTGGAAGTTTACATTGTTAATCAAAAAATAAAAGTAAGTGTACATCTCAAAAAGTTAGAAAAAAATACATCTAAATGAATTAGTTAAGCAGAAAAATAAAGAGAAGTAATAAGGCTTAAAAGCAGCTCTTTTAAAAGACCAGTCGGAAATGTAAGTCCTCTTAAGAAATCTGACTGTACAGAGGGCAAGCTAACCCTGAGTGGGGAGGGAGGAAGGGCCTCAGAGCCTCAGGACAGCGGGCAGAAGCACTGCAGTACTGACCTGATGAGAGCCTTCAGTAGGTCAGCCCTGCCCACTCGAGAGGCATGGTACACCGGGGTACTGCGGTGATGCCGGCTTCCATTCGGGTCGGCACCAGCTTCCAGAAGGATCTGTGCACTCTCCAGGTGCCCGTTCACCACAGCCACATACAGGGCAGTCTGCCCCTTGACATCCACCAGGTCCACCTCGGCCCCTTTGCGGATGAGGAAATCCACGCAGTTCCCGTGGCCTGCTGTGGCTGCAATTCGCAGAGGCGTGCACGGGAGCCAGCCACAACACCAGACAGACTTCTCATTGATGCGACTACAGGAGACACACAAACATGTGAGGCCATAGGACGCAAAAGAAGACTGCTGCCTTTACCACTCCAAGGAAAGTGCTCACCTAGGCAGCTGGCCCTGAATTTAACAATGCTTCCATCTATGTTCTGCTTTCCAAAGTGTAGGCACAGCTTTCCCCTTCGGGCCCTGGGCTGGCGGGTGGGCGGGCACTCATTCATTAGACATGAGGAACCTGAGACTCAGGCAGCATGAACAGCATTGGCACCCACATTTCTAGTTGGATTTTTCTCATTTGCGTTTCCTAACCTACATGCCAGAGGACGTTCCTGTACAAAGCAGGAAGGGTCTGAGGGATGGACACACTCACCTGGGAAGCAGCAGAGGCAGAACCCTGAGGCCCCCTCACCAGTGACCACCTGAAGGCCACTATGCTCCCCACTGACCCGGCCCCAGCCAAGGGGAGACATGAGAAACCAAGACGGTGGCACAGGACCTATATTTCTGGCGAGCAGGAGCAGCAAACTCCTGGCTCAGTTCTCAGGCACAGTCACGTGAGACACAGCAACCAAGCTGGCTCACATCTACCTCCCAATGGAATTTATACCTAAGTTTGGAAGCCAGAGCACTGAGCCTTGGGAATATGACAACAGCCCTTGGCCTGTCTCAAAGAGGCCAAAACAGTCAGAAGCCCCCAAGAACTTGCTGCAGAGAAACAGCAACAGAAAAATGTCTTAAAGAGCCAGGAAAGTCACTGAATCTGAGTTTAAGGAAAAACAGAGAAAAAGGCTGGACATGATGGCTCAAGCCTATAATTCTAGCTTCTTGGGAGACAGAGATGGGAAATTACAGTTCAAGGTCAATGCCAGACCCAGACCCAGACCCAGACACTCAGACACTCAGACACTCAGACACACACACACACACACACACACACACACACACACACACACAACACACGTACGTAAGCTGGGCACTGGTGATTCACACATATAATCCCAGCTAGTTAGGAGGCTGAGTTCTGAGAACCACAGTTCAAAGCCAGTCTGGAAAGTCTGTAAGACTCTTATCTCCAATTAAACACCAAAAAAGCCAGAAGTGAAGCTGTGGCTCAAAATGGTAAAGAGCTAGCCTTGAGCAAAAGACCTCAGGGACAATGCCCAAGCCCTGAGTTCAAACCCCATGATCAAAAAAAAAAAAGTTTCTGAGGCTCTATCTCAACTGACGATTGGGCACAATAGCAAGAATCTGTTACCCCAGCTACAAGGGAAGCACACTGGCTGGGCACAGTGCCACAAACCTATCATCCCAGCTCCACAGGGAAGCACATAAAATGAGACCTTATCTAAAACTAACCAAAGCAAAAAGGCACTGGAGGTATATTCAAATGCTAGAGTGCCTGACAGGCAAGTGTGAGGCCCAAAGTTCAACCCCTAGTACTACCAAAAAATAAAAGAAAGGAAGGAGGAAGGGGGAAAAAAGAACCTTGGAAAAGCAATATGGATCTCTGTAAAGTCACTATTCTACTGCTACATCTGCAAGTTTAATGAAGGTTTCAGAGACTGGAAAAACTTTCTAGTGAAATAATGCTAAGACACTGACGGATGAGAAAGGGCCACGCTCTATGGACCACTGGAAACCCAGCCTCACAAACCAGAAGTAGGAGCTTCAGCATCACAGCAGGGCTCCTATCATCTGCTATCTTAGTGCCCGAGGAGGAGCAGAAACACAGCTAAAATATGGAGGGACTTGGGGGTACAGCTGGCTTTAAAATCTCATCAGGGGCTGGGAAGGTGGCTCAGTGGTAGAGCACTTGCCTTGCATGCCTGAGGCCCTGGGTTCAGTTCCTCAGCACCACATAAGCAAAAAGAAAAAAAGCCGGAAGTGGCGCTGTGGCTCAAGTGGTAGAGCACTAGCCTTGAGCTGAAGAGCTGAGGGACAGCGGCCAGGCCCAGAGTTCAGGCCCCACGACCGGACCAAAAAAAAAAAAAAACCTCATCGGGACTGCGGTCTTGGACATGCAAAGCCGTCTAGAACCACTCTAGAGAGAAGAAAGGCTGGTGGCCTCTCAGTGTCCCACACAAGACAGGGAAGAACAGGACTCCCTGCTCTGAAGGGAGGGCTAAGGCTGAGGACAAACAGGATTCAGCAAGGGAAACAGGCTGTGAGCAAGGAACAAGGGAGCTCATCCACCATATCCCTGGGGTGGGAGGGCACCAAATGCAAATAACTGAGGGAGGTGGATGAGGACACAGAGAACCACCTAAGCTAAAAGAACAAGGCGTCGACATGAAGGGTAAGGTAACAATGCTGCCTTCAGGAATAATACTGAGGAAGCTGAAGCCCAGAAAGAACCAGTGGTCAACAAAACTTCAAGAATCAATGAGGGGCAGGGGCAGGGATTCGAACTCAAGTCCCTGGGCCACGCTGTACTTGGCCATCCCCTACAACTCAGACCATACTTCCTCATTTTCCCTCCTGCATCTTCTGCATCTCACTGTGCTCCTCCCAGCATCAGGGTCTTTGCAAATGACCAGGAGTCCTGCAGCAGAGCCACGGGTCGTGTATGCGTGTCCCCCCCCTCCCCCGGCAGGGGGCTCACCTCCGGTAGCTCTCCTCCTGCAGCAGGCTCCGGAGGGTCTGCAGGTCCCCCACATAGGCTGCGTCGTGGAGCCTCGTGTCCTCACAGTGCTCCAGCGGATGGTCACAAAACTGCTCCCGCAGCCACTCCTTCAGATTGGGACCTGCGCTGGAGAAAGAGGCTCCTGACGGTTCAGGGAAATACCAAGGGTGACCAGGCAGGGTGCCATCCCCAGCAGATACCTCCTGCCCATGGCACTCTCCAATGCCCAAGAAATAAATCATAGGGAACAGCTGGCAAGCTTCCCTTATCAAACTAGCACACTCCTGACACCAACTCTGACAAGAATTTTTTTTTAAGGTGATGGGGCCAAAGCAACTACAGAATTAGGATTCTGCAAGATCCTAGACCAAGAAGTAGCAAATTAATTTAAAAAAAAGAAAGCACCAGCCAACTGCTGGTGGTTCTGTAATTCTACTCAGGTGGTTGGGATTTGAGGATGGCAGTTGAAAGCCAGCCCAAGGAGAAAAATCCTTAAGACTTATCTCCAATTAACTAACAGCCCCCCCCCCAAAAAAAAAGCTGGAAGTAGAGCTATAACTCAAGTAGTACATCACTAACTTTGAGATTAAAAAACAAAAAACTGCCAGGTGCAGGTGGCTCATGCCTGTAATCCTAGCTATTCAGTAGACTGAGATCTGAGGATTGGAGTTCAAAGTAGCTCAGGCAGGAAAGTCTGTGAGACTCTTTTATTTTTATTTTTATTTTGGGTCCAGTCGTGGGGCCTGAACTCTGGGTCTGGGTGCTGTCCCTCAGCTCTTCAGCTCAAGGCTAGCACTCTACCACTTGAGCCACAGTGCCACTTCCAGCTTTTTTCTTTTTGCTTATATGGTGCTGAGGAACTGAACCCAGGGCCTCAGGCTTGCAAGGCAAGCGCTCTACCACTGAGCCACCTTCCCAGCCCTTTGTGAGACTCTGATCTCCAACTAGCCACCAGAAAACCAGAAGTGGCGTTGTGGCTCAAGTGGTAGAGAGCTAGCCTTGGGCTGAAGAGCTGAGGGACAGTGCCCAGGCAGAGTTCAAGCCCCAAGACAAAAAAAAACCACACACACACAGGGACAACCACAGGACCAACAGGACCAAAACCATAATAACCATCCATCAAAAAATTCAGTATGGAAAAAAAAATTTAGTATGAGCCCAGTGCCAGTGGCTCATGGCTATAATCCTAGCTACTCTGGAGGCTGAGATCTGAAGATCATGATTCAAAGCCAACCCAAGTAGAAAAGTCCATGAGACTCATCTCCAATAAACTACTCAGAAAAAGCTGGAAGTGGTACTGTGGCTCAAATGGTAGAATGCTAGCCTTGAGCAGAGAGGCTCAAGGACAACACCCAGACCCTGAGTTTAAACCCCAGGACTAGCAAAATAAAAATGAAACTAGGATACAATTACTATAATTTATCCCAAGTAAGAACATCTTAAAACTGCAAGACTACAAAGGAAAGCGATAGCCACCTCCATCCATGCAAAGGGACATCTGAGAGCAATATCCAAGAATAGCCAAACAAGAGACACTGCTGCTCACAACACAGGGAGCCCCTGGGGTGCTGGTCTGGGAGACAACCACAGGCTGTCTGCAGAAGAAACAACTTACCAGAGAGGCTACTGTCCCCTACAAGTTCATGTGTTAAGACACATGGCCTCATGGGAGAACGCCTCTCCAGGGGACTGGGGTGTTTCTCCTGGGATAAGCACCTGATCCAGGGTCAGTTCATCTTTTAAGATGTGTTCGGTCACCCCCATTCATGTGCCTACCACTGCCACCCATCAGGGGCAACGCAGACAAGGGGAGGGGACCGTCAGAGCCTGTGCCATGCTGTGTGGAGTTTCATCCTACATAAACTTCTTTTAAGGAAAACTAAAATGTATGTATATAAATATAAAGCAAGCCCTATAAAATGAAAGACTGCATTATGCAGAAAGAGATAAGAAGATTCAATGTTAGGAGGAATTTTAGATTTATCAACAAATGAAGTTTAAGCAACCTCTTTAGGGTTTGATATCAAATATGACAAAACTATCCTAAAGTTTATTTGGAAATGTAAATTTGAAAGAATAGCTTTTCTGTTGTTTTTAATAACAGTAATGGGGAAAATGCTTATTGATACAAATCTCATCAGAACTTTTTAAAAACAGATAAATTCTCAGGAAGACTTTAGCACAAATATCCTAATTTGTGATAAATGTACATCAAAATCAAAGAGGAGGAAAGCATATTCAGCAAGTGAAGCTTGTGCCAGTAAATTACTGTTTGGAAATAACTGAACTTTCTTTCATTCACACCACAATTTGGAAAAAACTGAGTCTTCAAACAAGAAGTCTAAGGAAGTGTGTGGAGAGAGCTGCATGGACGGATGTGTAGGTAGGCAGGCTGCTGGGATCCAAGTTTCCACCCTGGCAGGCAGCCCTGCCGTGTTACCACGCAGCAGACCACATCCCTCCACCCGTGGCTTCTTCCAGATGGCGACGTGAAATCAGCTCTCCTTTGAAGAGCTACGGCAGCCAAGACCTGGCCACAGGGGCCATGGGGTGAGGAGTACGTTTGTCCTGAAGGCTGTCACAGGCCGGTGGCAGAGGTAAAATGCAACAAACACCTCGATGGCACCCCACCCTCAACCAGCCCGCAGCAGACGGGTGGGGAGCACGGCGCGGGGAGCACCGGGCGGGGAGCACGGCGCGGGGAGCACGGCGCGGGGAGCACAGCGCGGGGAGCACCGGGCGGGAAGCACCGGGCGGGGAGCACGGCGCGGGGAGCACCGGGCGGGGAGCACGGCGCGGGGAGCACGGCGCGGGGAGCACCGGGCGGGGAGCACGGCGCGGGGAGCACGGCGCGGGGAGCACCGGGCGGGGAGCACGGCGCGGGGAGCACGGCGCGGGGAGCACCGGGCGGGGAGCATGGCGCGGGGAGCACGGCGCGGGGAGCACGGCGCGGGGAGCACCGGGCAGGGAGCACCGGGCGGGAAGCACCGGGCGGGGAGCACGGCGCGGGGAGCACCGGGCGGGGAGCACAAGGCGGGGAGCACCGGGCGGGAAGCACCGGGCGGGGAGCACGGCGCGGGGAGCACCGGGCGGGGAGCACCGGGCGGGAAGCACCGGGCGGGGAGCACGGCGCGGGGAGCACCGGGCGGGGAGCACCGGGCGGGGAGCACGGCGCGGGGAGCACGGCGCGGGGAGCACCGGGCGGGGAGCACGGCGCGGGGAGCACCGGGCGGGGAGCACCGGGCGGGGAGCACGGCGCGGGGAGCACGGCGCGGGGAGCACCGGGCGGGGAGCACGGCGCGGGGAGCACGGCGCGGGGAGCACCGGGCGGGGAGCACGGCGCGGGGAGCACGGCGCGGGGAGCACCGGGCGGGGAGCACCGGGCGGGGAGCACGGCGCGGGGAGCACGGCGCGGGGAGCACGGCGCGGGGAACACGGCGCGGGGAGCACGGCGCGGGGAGCACCGGGCGGGGAGCACGGCGCGGGGAGCACCGGGCGGGGAGCACGGCGCGGGGAGCACGGCGCGGGGAACACGGCGCGGGGAACACGGCGCGGGGAGCACCGGGCGGGGAGCACCGGGCGGGGAGCACCGGGCGGGGAGCACGGCGCGGGGAGCACCGGGCGGGGAGCACGGCGCGGGGAGCACGGCGCGGGGAGCACCGGGCGGGGAGCACGGCGCGGGGAGCACGGCGCGGGGAGCACCGGGCGGGGAGCACGGCACGGGGAGCACGGCGCGGGGAGCACGGCGCGGGGAGCACCGCGCGCCTGGGAGGCCCCGAGCGGCCGGGACCCTCCTGGGCGCCCCGCAGGGGCCGTCCCTGTAGAGTGGGGCGAGTTCACGGGCGGGATGGGACGGGAGACGAGGGCCGCGAGGGCCTGCCCGCCCCGCACGCCTCCCTCCCTGCCTCTCCCAGCGCCCGCCCGGCCGCACGCCCCGCCCCGGGCGGCTGGCGGCCTCCCCGGCCCCGCAGGGTGCGGCTGGTGGGGCGGACGGTTACCGACCAGCTCCACGAACGGCCCGCGCGCGGGAGCCCGGCCCGGCCCTCGCCCCGGGCCTCGGCGCGGCGCCCACGTTACCTGCGGGCCCCGGCCCTGCCCGTCCTGCGGGGCCGCCGCCCTCCGCCATCGGACCTCGGGCCCGGCCCCGGGTCCCGTCAGCCGCCGGCGACCCCGACAGGAGCGCGCCGCGCCGGCCGGCCGGAAGCAGCTCAGCCCAACACCACTTCCGGCGTCGCGGGCCGGCGGGCGCGACGGGGGCGTGGCTTCCGGCCTCTTGCGCTTCCGGGAGGACTGCCACTCCGTGGGGGCTGTCACTCCGTGGGGGGCTGTCACTCCGTGGGGGCTGTCACTCCGTGTGGGGGACTGCCACTCCGTGGGGGCTGTCACTCCGTGGGGACTGTCACTCCGTGGGGACTGTCACTCCGTGGGGGACTGTCACTCCGTGGGGGCTGTCACTCCGTGGGGGACTGTCACTCCGTGGGGGGGCTGTCACTCCGTGGGGGCTGTCACTCCGTGGGGGGGCTGTCACTCCGTGGGGGCTGTCACTCCGTGGGGACTGTCACTCCGTGGGGACTGTCACTCCGTGGGGGACTGTCACTCCGTGGGGGCTGTCACTCCGTGGGGGCTGTCACTCTGTGTGGGGGCTGTCACTCCGTGGGGGCTGTCACTCCGTGGGGGCTGTCACTCCGTGGGGACTGTCACTCCGTGGGGGACTGTCACTCCGTGGGGGCTGTCACTCTGTGTGGGGGCTGTCACTCCGTGGGGGGGCTGTCACTCCGTGGGGGCTGTCACTCCGTGTGGGGACTGTCACTCCGTGGGGGGCTGCCACTCCGTGGGGGCTGTCACTCCGTGGGGGGGCTGTCACTCCGTGGGGGCTGTCACTCTGTGTGGGGGCTGTCACTCCGTGGGGGGGCTGTCACTCCGTGGGGGCTGTCACTCCGTGGGGGCTGTTACTCCGTGGGGGCTGTCACTCTGTGTGGGGGCTGTCACTCCGTGGGGGCTGTCACTCCGTGGGGGCTGTCACTCCGTGGGGGCTGTCACTCCGTGGGGGGCTGTCACTCCGTGGGGGGTGTCACTCCGTGTGGGGGACTGCCACTCCGTGGGGGCTGTCACTCCGTGGGGACTGTCACTCCGTGGGGGACTGTCACTCCGTGGGGGCTGTCACTCCGTGTGGGGACTGTCACTCCGTGGGGGCTGTCACTCCGTGGGGGACTTTCACTCCGTGGGGGCTGTCACTCCGTGGGGGCTGTCACTCTGTGTGGGGGCTGTCACTCCGTGGGGGGGCTGTCACTCCGTGGGGGCTGTCACTCCGTGGGGGGCTGTCACTCCGTGGGGGCTGTCACTCCGTGGGGGCGGTCACTCCGTGGGGGCTGTCACTCCGTGGGGGCTGTCACTCCGTGGGGGGGCTGTCACTCCGTGGGGGCTGTCACTCTGTGTGGGGGCTGTCACTCCGTGGGGGGGCTGTCACTCCGTGGGGGACTTTCACTCCGTGGGGGCTGTCACTCCGTGGGGGACTGTCACTCCGTGGGGGACTTTCACTCCGTGGGGGGGCTGTCACTCCGTGGGGGCTGTCACTCTGTGTGGGGGCTGTCACTCCGTGGGGGGGCTGTCACTCCGTGGGGGCTGTCACTCCGTGGGGGGCTGTCACTCCGTGGGGACTGTCACTCCGTGGGGGGGCTGTCACTCCGTGGGGGCTGTCACTCCGTGGGGGGCTGCCACTCCGTGGGGGCTGTCACTCCGTGGGGGGGCTGTCACTCCGTGGGGGCTGTCACTCTGTGTGGGGGCTGTCACTCCGTGGGGGGGCTGTCACTCCGTGGGGGCTGTCACTCCGTGGGGGCTGTCACTCCGTGGGGAGCTGTCACTCCGTGGGGGGCTGCCACTCCGTGGGGGACTGTCACTCTGTGTGGGGGCTGTCACTCCGTGGGGGCTGTCACTCTGTGGGGGGGCTGTTACTCCGTGGGGGACTGTCACTCCGTGGGGGCTGTCACTCCGTGGGGGGCTGTCACTCCGTGGGGGCTGTCACTTCGTGGGGGGCTGTCACTCTGTGGGGGGCTGTCACTTCGTGGGGGCTGTCACGGCGTGGGGCGCTGTCACTTCGTGTGGGGGCTGTCACTCCGTGGGGGGCTGTCACTCCGTGGGGGCTGTCACTACGTGGGGGGGCTGTCACTCCATGGGGGACTGTCACTCCGTGGGTGCTGTCACTCCGTGGGGGCGGTCACTCTGTGGGGGCTGTCACTCGGTGGGGGGCTGTCACTCCGTGGGGGCTGTCACTCCGTGGGGGACTGTCACTCCGTGGGGGCTGTCACTACGTGGGGGGGCTGTCACTCCGTGGGGGGCTGTCACTCCGTGGGGGCTGTCACTACGTGGGGGGGCTGTCACTCCGTGGGGGGCTGTCACTCCGTGGGGGCTGTCACTCCGTGGGGGGCTGTCACTCCATGGGGGCTGTCACTCCGTGGGGGGCTGTCACTCCGTGGGGGGCTGTCACTCTGTAGGGGGGCTGTCACTCCGTGGGGGACTGTCGCGGCGTGGGAGGCTGTCACTCCGTGGGGACTGTCACTCCGTGGGAGACTGTCACTCCGTGGGGGACTGTCACTCTGTGGGGGACTGTCACTCCGTAGGGGGCTGTCACTCCATGTGGGGGCTGTCACTCCGTGGGGGGCTGTCACTCCGTGGGGGCTGTCACTCCGTGGGGGACTGTCACTCCGTGGGGGGCTGTCACGGCATGGGGGACTGTCACTCCGTGGGGGGCTGTCACTCCGTGGGGTCTGTCACTCCGTGGGGGCCGTCACTCCGTGTGGGGGCTGTCACTCCGTGGGGACTGTCACTCCGTGGGGTACTGTCACTCCGTGGGGGACTGTCACTCCGTGGGGGCTGTCACTCCGTGGGGGACTGTCACTCCGTGGGGGACTGTCACTCCGTGGGGGCTGTCACTCCGTGGGGGACTGTCACTCCGTGGGGGACTGTCACTCCGTGGGGGCTGTCACTCCGTGGGGTACTGTCACTCCGTGGGGGACTGTCACTCCGTGGGGGACTGTCACTCCGTGGGGGGCTGTCACTCTGTGGGGGACTGTCACGGCATGGGGGCTGTCCCGGCGTGGGAGACAGTCATGGCGTGGAAGGACTGGCTTCCCCTGCTGCAGGCGCCCTCAGGACACCAGCCTCCACCCTGGAGCAGCCCGGAGGGATTGTTCCCTATATGTTCCTTGCAGAAAGACCCATGGAAAAGGCTTCTGGGCTGGGTGCATTGGTCAGTGGGATGGTAAACAAATGCACCCCAAATTCTCCAAACCCCGTTTCTGTTGAAGTGTTGGATGAACTTACTAGAGAGCAGTGGAGCCGCTGCCTGCACAACCCCCATTTTGGATATCGCAGGTCTGGGTTGGGTGATTGGATCCCCTGGGCTACTTTTCCCCTGGGAAACCTGTGAGGGAGACTGAAGGTGAGGTATACATGCAGCCACCGCAGGTCGCTGAGACCAAGGACCACAGTCCCCAACAAGGAGGCCAGGGGTGGCCAATGGCCTGTGGCACACCAGACTAGACGGAGCAAGTCTCCAATGGGGAGTTAGCAAACCACAGTGCCCAGGCCGCCTCAAGTGGGCAGGGCCACCTGGGTGCAGGCCCAGCAGCCGAGGCACGATGTCTGGGGAAGAGTGGGAAGCAGCTCACAGGGGTGCACCTGCTCACAACAGGACACACTACTAGCCTGAGGGACAGATGGCACCTCTGAGGCTGAGCAGAGCAGGGATGGGGGCAGCCCCCCGGCTCCGCTCCACACCAGCACACCCCAGGAGCCCCCAAAGCACTGAAGCCAGAAAAACACCCACATGTGCCTGAATGGATGGATAGAATGAGGTCTGCCCACACAGCGAGCGAGCACTCAGCCTCAGAAAGAAAGATACACCGTGCATGAACCTGGAGGACGCTGCCCTCCGTTAAATAAGCCAGGCACAAGAGTTACACATGCATGGTTGTACTGGGAGAAAAGTCAGACCGATGCAGGCAGAGTGGACGCCGAGGCCCAGAGTGGAGAGCAAGCACTTTTAACGGGAACACTTTCAGTTTAAGAAGATGAAGATGCTCGGGATGTTGAGAATTCACTTAACACTATCACAGTGTGCCTCCAACAGTTGTTTGTTTTGTTTTTGCTGCTAGCCCGGAAGCTCCTTTTTGCCAGGCATGCTTACACGGGGAGGGGTGGGCCATTCAGAGCAGAAAATCTCAACCTGAGCTGAAAGACACCTTCCAGAAGCCCAGGAGCAATGGCAGGGAAGACAGTGGATTCAAAACTGACTCCACCCCTGAATAAGGAGCAGCCAGTTAGCCCAGAACACCAGACGCCATTTATACAACACAGGCCCACCTCGGGACAGCTCCCTTCTTCCGAGCCCAGCCTCCTCTTTCCCCAGGGTGCAGCAGTCCGAGCTGTTCTGCCTTCCCCTTCTTACCACCAGAAACCTTGTTTCTGCCACTGAAACCCTTAAGGATTCCCTGCAGGCCTGCTCTGTGCTCCTTAGCTGAGTGCCCTCTCTCTCTCTCTCTCTCTCTCTCTCTCTCTCTCTCTCTCCCCCCTCGCTCTCCTCTCTCCATCTGTCTCTGCCTCTGTCTGTCTGTCTCTCTCTCTCTCTCTCTCTCACACACACACACACACAGAGGCTCTCTCCCCTCCCTGCAGCATTCATCCAGCATACTAGGCACCCACCACCAGCCCCCTCAGCCAGCAGAGAGGGCCTGGGCTCCCAGCCACGCTCCACCCACAGTTCTCCCGTGACACTTATCTCCCCATCCTGCCCCCCAGCTGCCAGAGAAGCGGACTATCTCCTGCAGACAGTTCCCAAGCTCAGCTCTATCAGGACAGTGTTTGGCTTCTCCTACTGGAGCTTGCCTGAGACTTGTTATTGAGCAAGTAGATCGTGTCATTCATCAACCAGAACTGACACACTGCCAGGTCGGGCCCTGGGTCCAGAAGCACAGAACAAGCAAAATGGGACACTTGCCCTGAGAACCTACAGAGATGTCGTGGGTTGAATGATGATGGCTCCCAAAAACCAGGGATAAGCCCGCAGCCAACCCTCTGTAACCCGAGAATGCAAACTTCCCTGGAAAAGGGGTCTTTGCAAATGTAATTAAGATCTCAGGATGAAGCCATCCTGGGTTTAGGGTAGGATCTTGTTATGATTTGGTCTTCAATGGCCCCAAAGGTGAATGTGTTGTAGATCCGGTGCTGAGCACGTAGCCGTGTAGACTGTTGGGAAGTGCAGCCTACTGAAAGTTAGGTCAATGAGGCAGGGGGGACGGGAGGGAATGATGCCCTTGGTGGGAGCTGCAGGCCCCTGGCCCCCTCCTTATTCTTCTAGTATACTTCCTGGCTAGGAGTTGTAGCTTTGCTCACATCATGTGTCACCTCTCAAAGGACTCCAAAGCTGTGACAGTCCACTCCTTGGCCTCGGTCCTGGATTGTCAAGGTCCTAGCTCAGCCACCGCTTTTCTGCAACAATCCACAATGGTCCAGGGAGCTTCACTCTTGATTTTCCTGCAGAGTTGTGCGCCCAGGGAGCCCTAGAGTCAAACCCCCCACCAGGGCACTAAAGTGAAGGAAGAGTTCCCCAAAAGACCCAGGAGAAAGGGGGCAAAGAAGACACACAGCATAAAATTCTTCTTAGCCGTGTTACTCAAGGACGCATTGTTTGGGGACTTTGTATTTTAGGAATGCTTGCGTTTGGAAGTTATTTTCTTGCAGGCTGAAGCCAGAGAACAAAAGCCCTCAGGTGAGCTGTCATGGGAGTGGAGATTGCTACCTCTACCCAGGTGTCTCCAGCCCACCCTGGCTGCTACTTCCTGCAGAGGTCACTCTGGGGTCAGAACCACTGGCATGGCCCCCGGCAAGGAATCCGGGGAGGCTATTTCCAAAGCTGTAAAGTAGAATAACGATTAATAAATATCATTGTTGGTCGATGGGAACAACGCCGGCCTTCATTTCTTTATTTGCTGGCCCATTTGGTGAAGCACTTAAGCAGAGCCCAGGCCAACATACACACTTAACGGTTTTAATTACATCCTGCGAATTTATTTTTCCAGAGAGAAATATTTCTGGGGAAATGTCTATAAAAGCAACTTTAGTCGAGTGTGTGTGTGTGTGTGTTTCCTATGGGAAACCTGTTTACTGACTTTACACTGACAGAGGACCCTGCTGACAGCCCTGGCAGGGGCAGTGTGGAGGCTGAGAGGATCGCCCGGCCTGCTCGGCCCGTGTCTTTCTGGGAACTGCCCCACACCGCTCGCTCTGCGTTTCCACCCAGAAATTCTAAATTGCTTTTAGAAGACCAAAGTTGGCTGGGTTTTTTTTTTTCTGCTTTTAAACACTGGGAATTTTCTGTCACCTCTCCTGAGATTCTCTTAGTGCACTGGCAGTTCTTAGCAATGGGAAAGGGACATTTAACCTCATTTTTATAGTTCTAAGGGAAGGCACAACTTCAAACTCTTTTCCAGTGATGGAATTTGGGAAAAAAGTGTCTATGGACCAGAGGCCTTGGCTCTGGTGGAGCAGAAGCCCACCCATCCCGCCTTCTGCCTGGTCCTGTCTGGAGGTCACTTGGCTCTGGGGGTCTCCAGCATGCTGTGGGATAGGTTGGGCTGCAGAAGACGGACTTCAGTCCTCCCTGCCCCCAAAGGCAAGAAAAGCTAAGGGTCCTTTTGCCATTGCAAGGCCCTACCATGCATTTTCCATACCAGAACGGGGTAACCGCTCCCCATGGGAGTGCAGCCCTGCTCAGTGTGTACGTCCTCCTCTTGGTCTCGGGCAGTCCTCCCGTCCCCTGGACTGGGGCTGAGCCTCCCTCCTCCCAGGGCGCAGCCAAGGATGACCTCTTCCCAGACAGCCTGGCAGCTGAGTGGGCTGCTCCTCTACCCAGCAAAGCCCTGGCAATAGCATCACCAGAGCCTCCCTCACACCCCAAGTTCACAGCGGTGAAAACAGCACAAGTGTTGTGCACAGCCCTCGGGCCCTACTGGATCACCAACAGAATTCTGGCAGGTACCTGGGGCGCTACCAGGGAGGACCAGCCCCCGCGGGAAGCCCAGGCCACCTGGGCCCGAGAAGCAGCGGCTAAGACCGGGCCAGCAGGCATTCTGGTCCCTGCCCTGTGGTCTGGGCTCAGGCACAGGGCCTGTGTTTTTGTTCTCGTGGGAATATGTCTGTGGGAAGATGTGGAAGTAGAGAAGCAGCAAAGCTCCGGACCCAATGGCAGTGATGTTCTCTAGGACACCCATTTTGTGTGCAGTCCCTCTTCCGAGCGCCCTGACTGGCCGCGGGTGGGGGCATAAAGTAGGTCCACTGCACTCACAGTGGGGTGGGCAGCCTCTGTTCAGATGCACCAGACTCAAGGCACCCGTGGGTCTTAGCCAGCCCAATGCCACGTCATCATCCTCCCACTGCTCTTCCTGAGTCATGAAGCTCCATCTCATCTTCCACATACTGAGTCATTCTCAGCCTGTTTGTATCTGTCCGTCCACTTAGAATTTGGCACTTGCTGATTCTAGCAAGAAGGTAGAAGGTCCAAGGGGCAGGGCCACCTAAAACTTGGGATCTAGGTGTTTTTGGTGAAGTCCTTCTTCTGACGATGAATGGAAGACTCGACTCCCTGAAGGGACAGGGGAAGCCCTGCAGAATGTCTGAGGCCCAGGCGCCTTCTGCTTATTCCAGAGGTGGACCTGTGACCTCATCAGGCAGAGCCACCATCGTAGTTCTCATGCCCGGGGGAACCCATTGTCCCTTCACAGTGGCCGCTCAACAGGTTCAAATCAGCAGGGGACCACATTAATTACCATTCAAACCCAGAAGCAGGGAGGGATGATTTTGGCCAAGCCAGTAGAAAAGGCACAGATAAATGAGGCAAACCAGAACTGCGACCGCCCACCTGAGGGGTGATGACAGCACCTGTGTAGATCCACAGCCAAGGCTCACACTAGCACCTGGTGAGCAGTAAGCCCCCAAGCAAGTCAAACATAGCACTTACAGAAATACTGCAACTGTTTGATGGTTTGTCATGACTAAGGATATTAAAATATTTGCTGAGACTAGAAGATGAAGGTAAGAGTGCAATGAGAAACAAGTTGGGCACTCTAAGTCCAATTAGGATCTTACTGATGGGCTATGGGCAGACACCTTCCCGCTGCCCTGAGGGAGGTGGGCTCTGAAGCCCCTCCTGTTTCTATCACTTCTTCACAAAGCTGTGATTCTTCCCTGGCCACCAGTGAGTAGCTGGACTAGCTTCTGAATTCCTTTTCCTTTTGGGAAAGAGCAATTTGCTTGGTCTAAGAATCCTATCATTGGGGCTGGAGATTTAGTTTAGTGACAGCCCCAATGTTTACAAAATCATCTTCTGGTCCAGGAAGGGATGTATAGTTCATGTGGTAGCAAATGCTAGGCTCTGAATTCAAAATTTTGGCAGAGAACTTTCTTTTAAAGCCCTTTAATTAATCTGTGTCTAGTGACTCAGAGCCAGAAGCAGCAGATGCTAATAGTGACCACCCTCCCCCTCCTTCCCTCCCCTGACACACTTGAGCTGGTTGAGCTAGTATTCCTTGGATACTGGCATACTCCAGCTTTGTTATGTCAGATTTGTGGGGACCATGAACAAGATGATGGCTCTGCCCCTTTGGGTGCAGACAGACGTTCCAGAGTAAGACATACGCACAGTATGTGATTTAATCTCTGTTGATATGAGGCCCTGAACACATGACCTCATTTGTCTGAGGTCTCACTTCGAAGGTTTTCTTGGAGCCTCAGGAAGCTAGTGATATGAGCTGCTGCTGTTAGACATTAACAGCCAGTGAAAGAAAGGTCAGCACACAGAAGACAAATGTGGGCAGGGCAGGGCAGGACAGGACCGCAAACAAGCGGTCAGACTGCTGTGCAGTACTTGTCCACACACCTAAGCTAGGCTCCACCACACTCCAACCCCAAACTGCACTCCTGTCAGGAAAGGCTGTCCCCCAGAGTTCAGTCACTATTCTTTCACAAAGCATGAATATCAAAGCAGAAAGCCTGCATTTCAGTCTTGAACTGGTTTTTTTTCCAAAGGCTTACATATTTCCTTTGATCATAAATTAGTGCCAGCTGAATTTATAAATCAAATTCTTCAAGTATGACTCCAGCATTCCTTCAAAACTTACAAACCACAGCAGAGGAAAATATTTTAAAATATCATATGTATATTTCCCTCAAAGGTATTAAATAAGATTAGGATTTGTCTATTACAAGTGCAGTAATAATCACATGTGGAGGCCTTCAAAATGATCTTAAAATTTCAAAATGTTTTCAAAATTTTAAGAAATGGTCATCTGTCTTACAAACCTTCAGTCAGTATCAGAAAAGGATGTGTGTGGGGGGAGGGGGAGGGCAGAATTGCAAATCATAATACAAATGAAAAGATGTCTCTCTGCACACATTTGAAAATTAAAAATTCAAAAGCTTATGGTCTGTTCCATGCATAAACTAAATTGCACAAGCCAAACACTTTTAGAAAAAATAGCTGATTATTTTAATGACATATATAAAAGAAAAATAAACTTTATCATACAATTTAGTAGACTATTCATACAAAATTTTACTCTCATACAATGTATATAATTTTTTGCAACACAAAAATTCTATTTATAAATTCCAATTCATAAAGGACATTTATCAGAAGAGTCTACACAGGGTTGTGGTAAAGTCATCCACAGAGTAGAGAAGAGATTTCCAATATAACTAAGGGCTGGTTAATAACAGCCGTTCTCCCCCAAACAGACCCCACAGAACTTCACATGCTCTTGCGGAGGGAGAAGCCTGCACATTTAGGAATGGCACATCCAAACTGCCCAGCTTTGGAAGCCCCGTCACCACCTTACTAAGGATTCATTCTGCAAATGCACTAACAAAACGCAACCAAGCCATCTGTGCTGATCTGCAAAGAAACAAAACCTTCTCAGGCAATTAGCTTAACATGGCCCCAGGCCACAGAATAAAGATGAAATTCAGAAACACAAGGATTAGAACCTAGATCCACATGTCTCTCAACAATGACACCCTTCATACAATAATGTAAAACCTGACAAGTATTTACAACAGTATTATATGTAAGTGAAAATTAGATGTTTCACTAAAAAATACCATTTAATAAAAAGTAAGTTACATAAAAAAATGAATCAGATCATCCTCTTAGCTCCTCCTTATGTGGTTTCTACTAAGTTCTGGGTCTCAGGTACACACATCTGTGCAAAAGGAAGAGGACCAAAGCCACTGTCTTCTACAGAACCCCTCCAGGGGCTCTGTCAGGAGCTGTCTGCAGACAGCACAGGCAGCTGCTGAAGAAAGCGAGGATGTGCTTACATGTCAGATGCTGCCCATCGTCAGTTTGTCAATCAGTTTGCCAATGACAAGTGCTAGAAAGGCAAGCGTATGGTAACAGGGGCCAATGAGGTAACTACATATACAAGTAGATTCAATTATAAAGGAAGGAGGGGAGAAGAACCCTTAACAGTTCTTATGTTCCTCATGAGGATACAGGCTGAAATTAACCCTTTTCAAATGGAAAATCAAAGTAAAATGTAATAATTCTTAGGTCATATTGTATTTATAAAGTACCTATCAGAAAGCACACAGCCATTCTTCGTTCTGTGCTGAGGTACGAAGTCCTTTCAGCAGACTGGAAACAAAGGGCTGCTGTTTCCTTGCTGGGTGTACATCACTTACCTGCTGGCAAAGTCTGGCACAGAGCTAAACAGGCTGCAGCAGAAACACAGACAAGAGGTTGCAAAAACCAGACTCACAAAGGCATTTTGAAGAGCTATTTATAACTAGCAAGTATTCCAGCTGGAAAGAGGTAAGAAAACAGTTTTAATTCACTTAATTTGCCTTCGTTTTGAAGCTCTGGAACTTAGCTGGATGAGGAGTGGCACTGAGAACAGTCTGTTTTCTTAGCACACTGGGAGCTAGAGGTCTAACTTCCTATCCTCCTCTGTACTCCTACACAGGGATGACTTCTCCTTCACAAGCAAGTGTTCACCTTCGAGAGGTCAAATTGATGCTATAGACCATCTTCTGGATTTTCTCCTCATTCCTCAGGATGTTGGCCTTTACTGCACAGATCTTGTCCTGCTGGTCTTTAATCTGTTGCTCAAGCTCGGCCAGCTCGACCTTCAGGGGCTCCACGGCACAGTCTGTGATCCTGACAGGGAACAAAGGTAGCTCTCAGCAGTGTCCTGACAGCTCTACTCTTGTGTCTCACAAAATAAAATACCCAAAGATGAGAAAAGTACGGGACTGATTGCATCCCAAGAAAAACTATAAAATACGCATTTCCGCCATGCTGATGTAAAGGCCAAAGCACTCACACCTGACCACAGCTATTTTGTGCTCCTATTGTCCCTGCCACATCCCCGTGCAAATGCCAATCCTAATGCCAACATGAGGCCCATGCTTTCCAGGATGGGTTTCAAGTCCCGAAATTATGTGAGAAACAGAGTTCCTAAAATGCAGTCACAGGGTCCCCATGATACCAAGGACCTAGCCTGGACTGGGCCAGGGCTCCTGACCACCACCACAGGCTCAATGTGCAGTTGCTGAGCAACTCCTGGCTGCAAAGCTGTGACAGGTGACCTGTGGGCAAAGTGCTGGGCTAGATACTTAGGACCACCATGGAATACACTTGGGAAAGCTAAAGTCAAGATGAACTGTTTCCTCAAGCCTCTGGAAGCCAGAACACAGAACACAGAAGAGTGGCAGGTCTAACTTTCAAAGCCATGAAGCAAAATCAGGATTTGTAAGGCCGAAATGACTGCAACAACACGTTCAATGTAGTAAAAGCTAACCAGTTACCACAAGAGAACAAACCCCAAAGAATTCCGAGTGGTTTTCTTACTTACTTCATGTTGAATATTTTAAATTATACACTAAATTTTTTTTTTTTAATCTGGACCCAGCTAAAATTTTATTTTACAGGCTGAAATTTGTGGGTAAAAATGTACTACAGTAATTAATGAAGCCGTTCTAATTTTGCTTGAAGGGATTTAAAATTCCCAGTAATAGCTTGTACTGTTGCTGAAGAACTCATTGATTGAAGTTCAACCAGATACCCACAAACAGCATCCAGGCATAGATGTGTAAATCTTCTTCTTTCACAATTTACAACGTGGCTAGGATACACTAAAATTTTTAAGAGACATTTTGAGAATAAACTGGCTAATAAAAGAATCTCTATATAATGTAGCTTTTTATTATATAGACTTATAGATGGATGCACTGAGTTAAATCATTTTCTTGGAAAAAAAAAAACCTTAATAGTTGATACAGTTACATGCTTCCTGGTTTACTAATTTTTAAACATAGGACAGCAAACCCTTCCCTAAAATAAACCTCACTTTTTAGTAGTTATTATAGTTTTCTTAAAATTGCATTTTTTAATGGGTTAACCAATTGTAATCAATCCTGGAGAATTATGATTTATAAAAAAAAAAAAGAAAGCTGTGTACCAGAGGCTCATGTATGTAATACTAGCTATTCAGGATGCTGAGATCTGAGGATCAAGGTTCAAAGGCAGCCTAGGCAGGAAAATCCATGAGACTTTTATCTCCAATTAACCAACAACAACAAAAATATGGAAGTGGAGCTGTGGCTCAAGTGGTAGAGCGTTAGTCTTGAGCACAAAAGCTCAGGGACAGCACCCAGGCCCTGAGAACAAGCCCCAGGACCAATACACACACACACACACACACACACACACACACACACACACACACACACGTATGCACTACCTGGAAAACAAGCCCCAGGACCAATACATACATACACACACACACACACGCATGCATGCATGCACTACCTGGAAAACAAGGACCAACACACACACATACACACACATGTATGTACTACCTGGAAAACAAGCCCCAGGACCAACACACACACACACACACACACACACACATGTATGCACTACCTGGAAAACAAGCCCCAGGACCAATACACACACACATACACACACACACACACACACACACACACACACACGCACGCACGCACGCACGCACGCACGTACTACCTGGAAAACAACAATATCCAAACTGTAAGGTTCTTGGTTTTGTTTTGTTTTTTTGTCAGTCATGGGGCTTAAACTCTGGGCCTGGGAGCTATCCTCAGCTCTTCAGTTCAGGCTAGAGCTCTACCACTTGAACCACAGCACCACTTCCAGTTTTCTGAGTAGTTTATTGAAGATAAGAGTTTCTCATGGGCTGGGAAGGTGGCTCAGTGGTAGAGTGCATGTCTTGCATGCCAGAGGCCCTGGGTTCGATTCCTCAGCACCACATGAAAAAAAGCCGGAAGTGATGTTGTGGCTCAAGTGGTAGAGCGCTAGCCTTGAGCTGAAGAGCTGAGGGACAGCGCCCAGGTCCAGAGTTCAGGCCCCACGACTAGACCCCCCCCCCCAAAAAAAAAAAAAAGTTTCTCAGTATTCCTGCCCCAGCTGGCTTTGAACAGTGATCCTCAGATCTCAGCCTCCTGAGTAGCTAAGATTACAGACATGAGTCACCAGCGCATAGTGGTTTTTTGTATCTTTTAATGTTTAAGTCGAGTTTGTCTATGAGCAGAAACTCCCTTGTCTTTTCTGATTGCTATAAAGAAATCTTTGCTGTATTAAATAAAGAAATACCAATTCTCCTTGAGGGAGGAGGTGAAGCTTGAGAGGCAGTGATTTGGAGGGAGATTTCTCTGGACAGATTACAGCCCCGAATGTCCTCTAATCTGCCCACACACACCTCTGCTCCTTCTGCAATGTCCCCTTCTTCCACCTCGGCTCCATCTGCAGTGTCCCCATTCCCCACCCCTGCTCCTTCTGAAGCCCCACCCCTGCCCCAGCGGCTGCTCCTTCTCCAGGCCGCCCCCACCTCTGCTCCTTCTGTAGGGCCTCGGCATGCTGCTTGTTCTCGCTGCGCCACAGCTGCAGCTCATTCTGCATGGCATCCACGTCCTCCTGGATGTAGTCCATGATCTTGCCCAGGGGAAGGGCACTTTTGCATAGGGTCTGGATAGACATGCGCAGCTTCTCTATCTCCTTAGAAACAATGTCTTTCTCCTTCTTCCACGCAGATTCAAAGACAAGCGATTTCTCCTGCAGTTGGGAAAACCAGAAAGAGCGAGAAGCATCCTCAACTCTAAGGCAGGGCAGGCTTGCTAGGCACCCGGCTGCAGGGCCGGTCAGAAGGCATGGGATGGAACCCAGCTGGCTAGTAACACAGAGAGAGCAACACCACCTGGCAGGGGAGGTGTGAGGTGCTCCGTGCCAGGGGAGCACACAAGTGTGAGGGGCCAGTCCTGCATCTCTCTGTCCCAAATGACTCCTCCTCACTAAGGAAGGAAGAAAGTAATTGTCACAACTGACTTGGCCTGAAGACTTGTGTGCGTGTGACTTGGCACACACACGCACGCACACGCACACGCGCACACACACACACACACAGAGGCAGAGTAAGGTCTCTTCAAACTCTTTTTGCAGACATCTCTGAATTTCAAGCTTTGATGTGGATTGGTAAGCATCAATAAGCAAGTCAGCTTAGGAGACCTTTCCTGGAAAACAGATGCTCTTCAGAAACCCCTGGACCTCCCTGACCCAGAGTTTAGACTGGTTCTGGGGGCCTTGCTGCTCCACTCACAGGAAAAGCTGCCATGAATCAACTCGATATAATTGCCTGTATTGCTTCTAAAACTTGCTTCACAATGTAGACTCGTGGAGGACTAGGTCTAGATCTGTTGTGGACCTTACAAGCTTTCCTAAGTATATGTTGCTGAAAATGAAATGAACTAATAACTTACCTATTAGGATCCTAGTTCCACCAATTACCAACTTGGGCAAGTATAAGGAAAGCCATAGCATAATGGTGGCATACAGAAAATATTTAAGTAAATAGTAAATGAGACTAGAAATAAAAGGTAAAATGAATTCACTCACGCCCTAATGAATGAGTTCAGTAAGACAACAGGATGGAAGACAAACATGAACATCAACTGTGTTTCAATGTAAGAGAAATAATCAAGTATAAAACAGAACACAGCCAGAAGTTGTATATGAAAGACTTCACTTGAAAGAAGACTTCAGATGAAAGAAATTCAATGAGATGACCTACATAAATGGAAAGATGGCCTAAATAATTGGAAAGATATATCATCTTCATGGACAGGAAATTCAATATAGTAAAGATGTCAATTCTTCTCAAACGAATATGCAAGTTAAGTTTAAGCAATTCCTACAATTCCAGCCAAATTTTCTGAATAGCTAAGATTATTCTAAGATTTATACAAAAGGCAAAAGAACCAAACTAGGCTTAATAAAGATAAGAGTGAGATCAGCCTACTCAGTTTCATGCCTTTTTATATAGCTACCACAGAGACTAACAGAGACTAAGGAATATTTATAGATTGGTACAGAAGATAAGACCAGGAAATCCAAAAACAGACACCCATATAAATACTCCAAATAGTTCTTTGAAAGAAAGCATAGAAAGAAATTAAATAGCAGTGGAACTACTAGATATCCATAAGGGAAAAAAAGAATCTTGGACTAATATTACACTTTAACCCAAAATGGATTATGGATGTAAATAAAAAGATTTAAAACTATAAAACTTTTGAGAAAAAAACATAAGGATAAAGGGAGCTAGAACTGGGAAAAGAGTTCTTAGACCACCAATAGCATACCTCATAAAAGGAAATAGCAATAAACTATTTTTACCAACATCCAATATTTATGTATGGATATCTATATATCTAAATCTCCATATATCTACAACATATAAACTTTCAAAGTACCACAGCAAGTAAACAAACTAATCAGAAAACAGGCAGTAAACAGACATTTCTGTTAGGAGAACTTGCAGATGGTCACCAAACACATCAAATATGATCCAAAGCATTAGCTACTAGGGAAATGCAAATCCAAGCCACCATGTGACCTTACTACATAGCTACCATTATGCTTCAAATAAAAATCGGGGACATCAACTTCTAGTGGAAAAACTGGTTCTGGTTCAGTTATAATTGCTACTGGCGGGGGGGAGGGGGAAGGCAGTTTCTTTAAACAACAACAACAACAACTAAATGTGCACCTAGCAGTGTTGTGATGCTCATGTGTCCGATGCCTGATCAATGTTTGAGTGGTGGCTGCATTGTGAAGGCTCTGACTTATCAATGGGTTAAACCACTGATACATTGACAGCGGAATGGACTGTTAGGTATTGGGGGCTGCTTGGAAGAAGTAGGTCCCCCTGGGAGATGCCTTATAAGGGTACATCTTGTCTTTGGGCCTTCTTCTCTGTCTCTCTGCTTCCCAGCCACCACGAGGTGAGAGCTCTGCACCACCCACCATCTCCACTGATGCTCTGCCTTACCACAGACTTTGCTCATAGCACTGGAGCCAGCTAACAATGGACTAAAGCCTCTGAGACCATGATCCCAAGACAAACTCCTCTCTAAGTAATTTTCCTCAGGCACTTTATTACAGTGAGGGAGAATGGGCAAATATACATACAGGCCATCAGTTATACTCTAGACATTGGCTCAAAGACATGCAAAGTTATATTCACACAAAAATCCTATACAAAAATGTATACAGATAGTATTTTCAGTAGTCAAAGGCTAGAAACCACTCAGATGTCTTAACTGGATTAAATAAACTGTGTGCATCTACCCCATGAAAAAGTAACCAGCAATGACTGAACTGTTGGGACCCACGACAACCTGGACAAATCTCAGCGAATTTTGCTAAGTAAAAATGTGAGACCTGAAAGTCACAGCTATAGGCTCCCTTTCCTTAAACATGTTTGAAAATACTAGAGAACAGATGGGTGGTGGCCAGGGCTTAGAGGAGGAGGAAAAGGATGATGAGGTTCCAAAGTGCATTAGACAGATCTCTCTCTCTCTCAGATCTCTCCCCTCTTTCCTCTGTCCTCTCCTTTCCTCTCCTCTCCTCTCTCCTCTAACCGCCCCCTCCCTCTCATCATGGGGCTTGAACTAGGGCCTGGGCATTTTTGTGCTCAAGGCTAGTGCTCTACCACTTTGAATCACAGGTCCACTTCCAGTTTTTAGGTGGTTAATTGGAGATAAGAGTTTCATGGCCTTTCCTGCCCAGACTGGCTCCAAATCATGATCCTCAGATCTCAGCCTCCTGAGCAGCTAGGATTACAGGCGTGACCCACCAGCACTTGGCACAAGACAGATCTTAACTGTACCAGGTCAACACAGTTGTTCTGATGGCAAACCACACTCTTACACAATGAGACCCGAGGGGAGGTGGGGACAGACCACACAGTGTATCTCTGGTGCTTCTTCCAAATGCAGAAGAATCTACAGTTGCCTCAAAATAAAACGACTGCTGCAACTAGGGGACAAGAGCCACACAAATGCCTCTGAAGTAAAATGTCAGACAACTAGAAGGAATTCGATGCAGCAACAAACCACTTTCCAAGGAGGAAGACACACTGTCTTCATCATACACCAATTGCTACATCTCTCAATAATTTCTAGGAAAAGTGTAAAGTCCTACTGCAGCCATCCACAGTGACTATCAAGCAGCTCTGTGCACTGGCCTCATGCTCACTCAACGTAAGACTGTGTGGCTATAACTGAGGGTGGGAAAATAAGATGCACAGATGCCAAATGAAGTCTGGAGTTACAATGTGGACACCGATGTGAACGTAACCTGGCCGCACTCCTTCCTATTTCTGATGGCTAGTCAAACTCCTCCTCACTTCTGTGTCACATATCAGCAGAATTTGGAATGCTAGGCTGAAAGGTTTTAGCGTTAGTGTATTAAAATTGAAAATAGGACACACTTGGGCAGGATTATGATATCAGGGAGACTTATTATTCTAAAAGACACTGGGACACACTGCTGGAAAACATTACAAGTCTGGCAAGTGTCAAGCTCTGACTTAAATCAACAATCAGGTGGAGGTGGCTAACTCCACCAGGGACGATGCTGTAGAAAGCCCACCTTGATGACAGGCTGATTCATACACAGCTCGTGCAGAAACAGCAGCTACTCCCCAGATAAACACAACCTTGTTTTAAAGACTTAATACATCTAGTAAAATGTGAGAATCCACACCACACTTGCCACACAGGAATTCATTATATGAAATATTATGTTTTAGAAGCAGAGTGTAAAACTGCTGAAAGTCTCCCATTATACAAAATACCACCTAAATAAGTCTGGCAGGCGGTGGCAAGCACAGAACAAGCAGTGAGGGTCTTGCAACTTAGGAACCTGGCGCCAGCCCCGCCCTTTTATAACACCCCCTCCTTGGAAGCTTGAGACTTGGCTGCTGCACCTCAGTTCCTCACAATAAAGTGGAAATAATAACATTTATCCTGCAGGTAAGACTCAGTGGGCTGACAATCAGATGAGTGCCTCACACACTTCAACAGATGTCACCTACTATGGTAAATGGATTTCCAAAAGCAAAGAAGGCCCAGCCCACGCACAGCAAACATGGCACTGAGCTGAACACTACAAAGAGCCTGGAGTACTTTGGTGCCTACTAAAAATCAGTTCATAGATATGGTCAACCCAACCTAGCAAGCTATTCTGCCCAGCTTTAACTGGATCAGTTATTTTATTAAAAGTAATTTACCAGCCAAATTCTAATGGCTCACACCAGTAATCCTAACTACTCACGAGGCTGAGATCTGAGGATCACAGTTCAAAGCCTGGGCAGGGAAGTCCCTGAGACTCTTAGCTCCAAAACATTTCTCAAAAATAGCTGGATGGGGCTGGGAAGGTGGCTCAGTGGTAGAGCGCTTGCCTTGCATGCATGAGGCCCTGGGTTCGATTCCTCAGCACCACATAAGCAGAAAAAAAAAGCTGGAAGTGGCATTGTGGCTCAAGTGGTAGAGCACTAGCCTTGAGCTGAAGAGCTGAGGGACAGCGCCCAGCCCCAGAGTTCAGGCCCAGGACCAGACCCAAAAAAAACAAATAAACAAAAAAAAAAAAAAAAGGGCTGGGATGTAGCTCAGTGGCAACGCTCTTGCCTAGCAAGTGCAACGTCCTGGGTTCGATCTCCAGTACCAAAAAAGAAAAGACAAAAAAATACAGTTAAAAAAAATAGCTGGAAGGAG